CATACTCATCAGCTGACTTGTTCTCCAGCGGCTTTTAGAAAGTTTTTAAAGGGCTGCTTTATTCCCCCCCCCCTTTCATTCCTGGCAAATGCACAAATATCTAACTGAACTCACATTACTTAAATAGAAACTAGTAGAAGATATGGTTGTACAAGCAGTTCAGGACCTGATCACAAATATGCACTAAGCTGCTGGTTCTCCTGGGGTGAAATTCACCTTGAACAGAGGCAAGAATTGCACCTTCTTAGCTCAGAAAAGGTAACTATTCTTCTTGTATTTTAGTCAATCCAGCTGTAAAGTGGAAAGGCAGAAGAGGAATCTCAAGAGTGTTGGCCTGATAGCTAGAGAATTATTTATAGCCAAAGAGAATAATCATAAAATAAGATAAAAATATTTTGGTTTTATACTGTTATCCTAAAGTGAATCACAATCTCTGAACCAATAAATAATGGAGAGAAGTGTTTAAAAAGTAAAAAAATATTAATGAAAACATGATTTTATTTTTGTCTCTTCTGGAAGAGCACTGTGCCAGGTGCAGTAGTAAACATATCTCCTTTGAATCACTGGAAATGAAAAACGGGCATATATTTGAGCTTAGGTTGTTCATATGGGTTTATAACTGTTTTGGATCTTTTGAGCACTCAGGAAAATCCGGCCCACAGATTTTTAAACTATGATTCTGGCTACAGAGGCACTACACATTCTTTTTCTGTTTTTAATAAGTCTCTCTCTTTGTGCAACAAATCCTTCTGAAAAATTGTACCAGCAGTGGTAACCAATGAGTAGCAGCTAGAGACTGAGGGGAGAGGAATTGCTTTGGCTGGACAGAGACTAAGGGATCTGTAAACCCAAATTTCTATTGTTTTTAATAGGAATTTGGCTTCAAAAATCACAGCTCTCATATGTATTCAGTGTCTAAGAACTGGAGGTCTCTAACCATGCATTCCTATCTTACTGGATCCAATCCCCCACTTTCTGGTACACACACCAGGGGAGGTAGGTATGTCATTGCACACATCCTCTGCAAGACTCCTCACTTGTCAGGTGCACATTGCTGTTTTTCTGGTCGAGAGAACCTACCATCTGCTGGCTGGAGCTTACAGCTGAAGGAAGGAGGAACCCAAGCCTCACCAGGAGTGCAGAGGTTACTTAATAATCTTAAGAAGGTTTACTATGTTATAATGTGGATTAGTTTTTCCCGTTCTTTCAGTGGCTTTTCAGAAGATTAGGGGAGACTTTATGAAAATGCAGGACACTTGTGCACTCTACATGTATTCCATACACTCTGGCATACTGTCATTCTGATTCTCCCATGCAAACAACCAAAGGAAATGGAAAAATAATTTAAAAAAAGTCCTTTAATAACAACTGAAATTGAATGTCATTTCAGTTCAAATGGAAAACCTGAACCTGAAAGCTTAAGTATATGACAAGGGGATGTTTATTGATTTTCTGAAGACCTTTATGATTACTGGGAGCTCTGTGATTTAGGATTATTTACAAGAGGGCTAAATATTACTGTTACTTTTTTGTAGTCAGGTCATCAATAACTGATGAATAAGGCTTCTAAGTAAAGTAGGGTGGTTGCAAGTGAAGGGAACTTTTGCGATCGTGTTTCCATTTCCACTACCTTTTCAAGAGACTCTTTAATTTGTGCTGAAGAGAACTAGCTATACAGGGACAGCATTCATTACTATGTATGCTGATGAAAAAATTGCAAAGGAGTAGATTCCTGAGCAGAACTTCACTGACGGCGCAGTTAGATAAACACATGTTGACTGTAAGTTTGTTAATGTTGAGGATGTCAGAAAAATGAGAAACTCTGAAACCTTGATCAAGGCATCAAGACAATGGGACACATAATTTTGACACAGGAATTATTATGGATTGCATGGGGCTGGCTGTACTCCAGAATTAGCTCCAGACTGAATTATAATTCCGTTCTATATCTTCCTTAATATTAGAAACCTGAGTAGTGAGTGGTTATTACTCTGAACTGTATTACGTGCACTGTTTAAGCACGCTGAGTATGGTACATGATTGTGACTTTATTTTTAAGTACCCTTCTCTTTTATGTGTTTTTACTTAGAATGGCTCTGTAGGTTAATGTTGGACTCAACCCGTACACACAGTGCACGTGGTTCTAGAGGGAAGTTACATTATCTGCCAGGGCTGAGCATAAAGAAGAGGGGAAGTGCTCTCCAAACTATATGAAGAGAATGTATCATATATATCAATAAAATAATATTTTTACTTTCTTGTCTATTATGGCTGCTTCTTTTGTTCCAAGAAAATAAGTGATCAGTGCAGACAAGGTGATGGCTGAAATTCTCCATCTCTTCCCATACATAGACAGCTTTCTGGCAGAATAGCACAATTAGTTTTGCAGGCAACTAAACCCCCATAAATAATGGACTAGATTAATTTTATCTGAATTTTATTTGAATGCCTCTTTAACACTTAGGATGTCACTAGGTGTCACTGACATTCACTGCTTTCCCATCTACCTTCTCTCCCCCTATACCAATTCTTTCTGGGCTAGTTTCTGCTAGTGAAACATCTACAGAACTTATCAGTCTTGTTTCTGAGCCTGTGCCACCTGCCTGTGTTCTGACCACGTCAACCCCTGGCTCTGCAGCCCACAGCTTGAAACTGAGACAAATGTGTTCTCATCCCCTTTCTTTTCTGTCTCACTTGTGGTTACAGAAAAAAAATGTATAAAGAATATGTACAATTTCATCAGAAAAAGGTCTGTTTTGTGATGTTGAATCAAACATTCTTTAGAGTTCTTACCTTTCAATCAGGAGATGTTGAGATTTTTTCACCTGTTTTGGTGGACGAAAAGACCTTTTACCCAGGAGGATGCTGTAACACTATCCAGTGTTAGGGTTTTTGTACTTGGTGCCCTCCTACTGATATTCCTGCTGTATTTTCCCTATGCAGTATGCAGAAGGTAAAAAAAAGAATTATTTCTAGAAAATCTGTCTTAGGACACTTACTACAGAGGAAGGAGAGGTAGGCTTCTGTCCCTTGAGACTAATACACATCCAGAAAGTGGAAGGGTATTTTTTAAAAAGGAAGAAAATAAAAAGGTGTGTATGTATGGATGGTGGGCAGGACAGTGGGAACTTGCTGTGGCATCTCGGTGACTGACATTCTTCTGAAAGATGTAAGTTAAATGTCTGTCACCAGAGGAAGAACAGAAAACCAAGGCTGAGATTGATGAATGTCCTGGTGTTTGGGTTACAGAGTACAGTCTCCAAAATAGTTTGTAAGTGTGTATCTGTGTTTGTGTGTGTGCGTGCAATCTTACACTGCACTTGTCTTTGTGTTTCCTACTGGTTAGCTTAAGCAGCTTCCTGGTGTCTGTGTATCCCATTTCAGTGTGCCTAGAGGCCTCTGACTGATTTATGTGTTGCTGTGAGCTTGAGACAGCTAATGTGGTTATCACCTCTAGCTGTTTACCCCACCCTAAAGTGCTAAGTAAGTCCAGTGGTTCAGCAGCTGGTTTATGAACAGCTCAAATATCAGTGCAGGGGGAGGTGAGGGGGACACTTGGGCACAGTAACCTCATCAGCTGTCTGGGGCTGAGCCATTACTTCTTGTCCATTCGAGCTAGTGTCCCCTTGCATGGCACAGACCAGGTACAAAGTAGAGTTTCTGTGGCTCGGCCCCCCTTTGAATTTAGCTTAGATGCACAAGAAATGTATTTTATAGTGCTCAATGTAGCCTTTCTACTACAGTCTTCTCAACTAAATGCCTAAACTCTGTGCATAATGAGGAGCCTCATTTGACAGATGCTAAATTGGGAAGCACTTTGAAGGCTAGGGAAGCCCTTTCTGACTATACCTGTAAGTGGTAACCTCAGGAGTGTCACTTGTAAAGGAAGACATCAGTGACTGGGATTCAGTTAGGTAATTATGCCTCTGCTTCTGGACTAGTTTTTAGACTCTTATAACTCCAACTGGAGAAATGGACACTTTTAGAACAAGCAGAATCTCTTGAAAGTGACTCAAGCAGGCCAAGTGAAGTGTGTCTGGAAGAGACCCATTTGCCTGTTATGAGCCTCAGGTGCAGACCCCTAAAGTGAGATAAGATGGATCTCTGCTACAGGAACTGGAACTGAGCTGGGCAGAAGCTTATCTGGAGATTCAGTGGGTCAAAATGTCTGTTTTGATAGTCCTTTCTATCCAGGCACAGTTTCTTTGTCTATCCAGGGCTTCACAGCTTGCACCTTTGAGAAAGACATAATGTTTCTGAGTGCTGGGATTACTTGCAGCAGCATGGGTTTGCCTTTCTGAAGTGTATCAGGGGAGGTGGAGGAGGGCAGCTTCCCTGCTCTGTGGCAGGGGAGAGGTGTAGGGTCCGTCCTGAGCGTTTGCACCTGTTGAGCCTCTGCTGTCTCCCTTTGCTTTGACCCACACAATTAGGTATTAGGGGCATTAGGACATGACCACTGCACTCTGCTCCCTGGATTTCCTTTTCCCCTCCACATTTTAAGTACTGTTCAATATGAAGTGCACTCTGGTCTGACTGGGAATCCTAACCTGTTTGTTCATGGCCCATTTTTGCAGCTGCCTCCAGCTCAAACCGAAAAAGGCACAGTTCCTCTTAGACATCCAAATAAAAGTTAATTTCTCCAAAAGCTCACCTACTCCTCAGTGGTTTTTTTGTGGTGGGTACGTAGAGTCACTTGGCTTAGGGTTCTCAGCTCAGCATTATGATTTAGAGAGAGAAAAGAAACTTTTGGTAGAGATGTCAACAGTATCACTTGTTCTGGGTTTCTGGGAGATGTCTAGCTGATATAAACTGCGAAAAAAGATCTCTGTGAAAAGCTGTTTTAAATTAGAGAATTTACCCAGTTGAGGGAAAACTGAAGTTTCCATTTTCTGTCCAGGCTAGAATTACAAAGGTAGATGCATACAAATAATTTTTTTTCCTTGAATTTTTTTGTCTAGTTATTTTCCATTTGTTTCTCTTTTTTTTTGTTTTGTTTGCAGTCCCCATGCTTATATAACAGCACTCAAGAGGAAACTGCTAACAAGCCCATCTGATGGTTTGTGCCAGCTGTTTTAGTGGAGGCATGCTGGATGCAACTGAGCTCCACCTTCTTTGTCGAGGTATATTATACAAGTGACACCATAATATATGGTTCAGTCAGAATTATAGCTACTTAACCTCTTGGTACACTTTTCATTAATTTTTCCTTGGATCAGTTATTGTGTTTTGTCTGTCACAGAACTGGATTGAAAACTGCTCTGGGCATGGAATGTGTCATTCATTTAAACAACATCAAGGCACACTGTTCATGTTTAATTATTACTTTAATGCAAGTGCTAAACTGTTTTCAGTCACATCTAACAAACATGTTTTCTGGGACTGGTTGCTGGCTGACCTCAAGTAAGGCCATGTTAGGTTAAGCCTTGAAATGCTGCATCAAGCTGTCATCTCAAATAGAAGTCAGCTCATTCATCCTCCCGTGAACTATCATTTAGATGAACCAATGGAAGCAGGATATATTAACTGCCCACCAGAAAGGACACTGCAGTATGCTGATGAGAAAATTCTAGAGTAATACTATGGATGATGTTTAAAAACATCTGTTCGAAATGTCGCAGTAGCTAAGCTAGCAACACTGTGTGGTAGAAGAAAGCCACCTGTTGATGCAGTCTTTAAAAACAATATATAAATGTTTCTGTTGGTGCTGTTGCATCAGTTCTTTTTCAGGATATCTATTATGGCATGACACTTTTATTTGGAAATGGTCAGGATATTTAAAGGCCCAGTTCCAGCAGACTATGATCTTGCTTTCAGTTGCTCAAAAAACCAGTTTGATGCAACATTTAGAAGTGAATGTCATGCTAAGTTAATGACTGAGAGAAAAAAAATCTAAATAGACTTTTTTTCAGGATAAGGTGTTTGTAGAAAGCAAGGTCTAAGCTGTGTGTATTTGGGAGATCGCTGGAAAGGATTAAGGACAAAAAACACCACGATACCTAATGTCTTGTTAAGGGTAGGATTTGCTGGGTTTTGAAGTATTCCAAATAAATTACATTCTGAGCAATAAATTTTGAGACATCCACAATCACTTCATAGGGCTGATGCATTCCAATTTTAAAGTAAGTCAGAAGGTACATCCACTTTAATTGACCTTCCTTTCACCCTGGATCTCACCATTACTCTATATTAGCAGTTGACTAATATAATGACAGCACTTATATAAAGATGCACACCTACTTAAAACTTCCTACAGACACGATCCTAAGGCCTGAGAGTCTTGTTTAGTTCTAAGTAACATCTGTTGGGAAAATCCATTATATCTGCCAGTGGATTTGTTTTGACATCTGAGACCAAACTTTTCCAAGTTCTCCTTTTTCTTTTCTTCTTTCCTGCCAATCTTTCCTGTTTTTCCACTGAACTGATGCTCATCACTACCCTTTCTTCCTGCTGGTGGCAGTGGGAGCAGCCAGCAGGGCTTGGCTTGACAAGTACCAAATGAAGTTTATATGTGCCAGGAATGTGTACCCATGTTAGTGACAGCCACTAGCTTACCAGTTATTGTACAGGGATCTTTTGAAAAAGGACTTGCAAGTGGGAATGACTGTGAAATCAGTTGTCTTTTGCTGCCCTTAATGTAGAACCATTAAGAGTTTTAAAATTTCAGCTTAACTTTTGAGTTTGAAGAAAGCTTTCTTTGTAAATTTCCTGGCCCAGACTGCTCTTGCTTCATGCTCTTGCCACGGTACTCTGTTGGTTTGTCCTGGTTCGAAGGAATAAATCCTGTTTTAAATTTCCTTGCTTTCTTACAACAAAGGGCTCTGGAGGAAAGAAAATCTTTTAATCCTCCCAGCAATAACCTGACACGACCTTCTAAACACACTATTAACTAAAAAATATTAGCAATATTTTGTAGCTGTCTTAAGAAAAGCTTACAATAGAGATGGACAAAATACTTAGAAGAATAATTATACTTGGATGTGAAGAAATTAGTATCCACAACACAATTACACGTTTAAAAAGAGCTAAATGTTAAAAAATATTTAAAAAGCCATGCAGTGGGGTATTGTTCGGTAGCACTGACAGAATACAGCCAGTTTTCTGCATGGTCTTTCTAGGCTTCTGATTTCCTGACTGCCTTAGCACAAATTACTTGCCTTCTCTGTGTTCTTTAGTTACTCCAATCTGTTTTTCCTTTCCTTCATAACTGCTCCACTTTCAGGAAATGTTCAGAGCTTTTTTTTAATATAGCCAATATGGGATACTTTTGGAAGATCTGCAGGAGGAGGCAGTTTTCTGCAAATCTGGTCTCTGCTATGTCAGTAGGCTGCCAACAATTGAACACATCTTAAATGTCAAATAGGTGTTTTCTAAAAAAATTGTATAACATTGTTCTGGTATAAGTACATTAACCTAACTTGTTTGGAAAGAAACTTATGGCAATAAATCATCACAAAGGTAACAACTTAAAATTAGGTATCCAGCACTCTACTCTGACTGGGGTCAGAAAGAGATAACATAGCATCAGATGCATAGTAAAGAAATTCAGAGAAAAGTCAGTAGGAAAAACTAGAGAAAAGAAATTCAAGCTTGCTTTCTATCTCTTGGATTAAAATAACTAAATTCAGAGATAAAATAGAGATCTGGAGGTAGAAGTTTGTTTGCTACTTTATACACCTCATGTGGTCATTTTGGTATTCAGCAGGTAGCACTTGTACATTCCCTCATGAAAATACTTAAGTCCTGCTGCCTTTAATCCATCATTCTCCATTACGATTCTCCATCAAATATCTGATCTAAACCTAGTGAAGTCAGTGCGAGTCTTTCAATTGCATCAAGCACAAACTGCACAAAATAACGGCTAGACCAATGGAGAGACATGAGGGATATGATGCCCCAAAGTAGGATGTACACAGGTACCCTCTGCTGCTGTGCACCAGCTGGTTGCCTCAGAGCCAATAATAACTATGTTCACTCTCTGGAGAGAAGAGTACTCCAAGGGTGGAGTTCCCACTTCAGATTCAGATTTGAACCCTGATAAGCAGATCCAATTGAAGCATATGCTCGGTGTCAAGTTCTCCTTCTGCTGTGAGAACATTTTTGGGTCAAGAAGCATAACACAGAATAGGTAAGGTTGTAAAGGACCACTAGAGGTCTTCCTATCCAACCTTCTTGCTCAGGCAGGGTCCCCTGCATCCCATTACTCAGGATTGTGTCAAGACAGCTTTTGAATATCTCCAGAGAAGGAGACTCCACAACTTCTGCGGGCAACCTGCTCCAGTGCTCGGTCACCCTCACAGTAAAGAAGTTCTTCCTCATGTTGGGGGGAACTTGCTGTATGTCAGTTTCTGCCTGTTGCCTCTTGTCTTATTGATCAACACCACTGAGAAGAGCCTGGCTCCATTCTCTTATACAGTATGGAGAAGTGTAATGGCAGGAGAATTGTGGCAGGAATGGTCAGGTATGAATTACCTGTGTCTTTGGCGTCCCAGTTTTGCAGCCCAGTCCCTCTCTCATGGCAGAAAGAACCACCAGCACTGTGGAGGCTGGAGCAGCAGTTCCACTGACTATCCTGCTGGCTCTAACAGAGCACATCCCTGTTGTGGCAGGCAAGGTAGCTGTAGTGTCCCTGGTCACAACTGGGATCAGCACTATTCTGGTTGCCAGGGTGGCCCCTATTACCTCAGCCTTGCCATGGGCTTGTTCCCTTGCAGGCAAATCCTGAGTGCAGGCAGGATTAAGTCTCACATTTTTTTGATGGCTGAGGCCTTCTTCAGTGCCTAGCTGACCGTGAGTGTGCTTTCCCTTCTCCTGCACGGGTTTGAAATACCCTCTCCATTGAGTGTTCTCAGCCACAGCAGGTACAGTCATGTAGCTCTACTACTTGGAGAGTGCCTTACTGAACACGCTAAGAGGTCATTTAGAGGAAAGTGTGGCAGGGAAGCATCTCTGCCCCACTGACATTAACTTTGCAAAGACCTATGGGGTCTTACTCTCCCAATTATTCCCCCTTTGCCCTAGTAGACACCCTGTGCATGAGCCTCACAGGTTGCTACTGCAGGGAGGAGATTGTGATAACTGTCAGATATGTCCTTTACACATTCTTGTTTAATTAAAATAATATTCCATTAGTTTTAAGTTCTTTGAACACCCTTCTTCATTCAGTTCCAAGTCCTCCAGCAGCCACTACTTTGCCCAAAAAGCTTTCTGCTTTTCTTTGAGTGTCGAACTGCTGTCTTCACAAGCCTCTGTGGACCCATCTCTGGACTGTCTTCTTGTGTTACTGCATGATTTTTTTCTTCTGAAAGAAGTAGTTCTTACAACAAGCAAGTCCAATTCCTGCTTCTGCATTTGACTCTGGGGAAGATCCCTCAGGCTGCACCGCCCAGCTCCTCCTCCAACCTTGTCATGAGGATTCGTGCTTTAGCCTGTAGCTTCTATTGTATTTATTGCTAAACAAAAGGAGTGTTTTTTTTGCTCCCTCATTTAGGATGAGTAGAAGATAGTTATGTTCACCAGCTTCCCCAAGCTTTGTGGCTGCCCGCTGATAGATGGCTTGCTTGCTGAGCACTACCTCATCTCCAGGAAGGTAGTGTGCAAGGAGCCTAATGGCCTGACAAATACAGTCATTTTGCCCAAGTCCATATGGATCTTATGTTATTCATGGCTTCTGATGAACTGCATATTCCTCGCTGATTTAGTGGTTGGCTTGTGATGTTTTTCAATGAGTCAAATCTCTGTAATAGTGACCGTACATCCATGTATGTGGTAAATGTGAAAGAAAACAGATGTCTATAAAAGTCACTGAGTCTGATTTGGAATGATGAATAGTATTATGATTAATCATAGCTGTACAGCTAATGTGTAGTATTTTTACAGGATAGGGTGGAAATTGCTTGTTTCACACCTGTATGACTTCTATCTTAATATTTGAATTCAGCCAAATAAAGTTAAGTACAGGCTATTTATTTGAAGAGTAAAGGTATAATTACTACAGTGTTTTAAAAGTTCTAGTACAGTCTTGCAACCATAAATTCATTCCAACATTGTTTTTTTTTCCTGGCAATATCTACGCTGTGTTTATATGCAAAAAGAAACAAACAGTAGCCAATAACTGTCGTCT